TAAAAAAATGCTCTGAGCAGGAATGGGGTGGGGGGTGGGGTTGTTGTTGTAAGGCACCCAGTTCCTGGCCTGCAGGATTTTGACATTCTCCTCCTATGCCTATTCTATATGCCCACATCCCATTCATGTGCTATTTTTAATCCCTTGCATTTTTTTCTTTAAAAAAAAGGCATTTCTATACAATAATTAAAATTACATACTTAAAAAAAATCAAGACACAGGATCATAAGGCCGTTTGAGGCAGTTCTCTGGTGCAATTCATTTCTCCTGCCCACCCCGTTTTGCAAAAAAGATGCTGCTTTTGGTTCATTTTCGCAGAATCCGGAATGGATTTTAAGTCAGGGGTCCCCAACCCGTGGCCACTTTAAGATGTGTGGACTTCAACTCCCAGAATTCTGGGAGTTGAAGTCCGTAAAGTCTTAAAGTAGCTAAGGTTGGGGACCCCTGTTTTAAGGGACAATGCCAGTGGACTTCAACTCCCAGAATTCCTCAGGCAGACATGCTGGCTGGGGAATTCTGGGAGTTGAAGTCCATAAAGTCTTAAAAAGTTGCCAAGGTTGGGGAACCCCTGTTTTAAGGGACAACTGTAAACACCAGGCCAACATTGTCAGATGGAGAAGTTAACACTTCCAGAAGTGGCCCTGCCAACATCTGGAACTTCATCACCAGTCAGGTGCCCTCCAGGGATATGGAGGACTCCATCCCCAAATTCTCCGCCAAAATGTTCAACAAGCCTTGAAAATTGACTCCTAACCTGGGGTGCCCATGGGAGCGGTTTAAAAAAAATCAAGATGGCAGTCAACGATGGTGGCCATCTTGACTTTTTGGACAACCCTGGATCTCAACGTCTGGAAGGCACCTGGATGGGACAACTGATCTCGGCAAACATCTCCTGTAGCTCACATAACCTTGGTCCTTCCCTCCCTCTCTTTCCCTCTCAAACTTGCCCCATTTTCCAACATGGTCAAGGTACCAATGGTCCACTTCATTATGTCATGAGGAAAGCTCAGCTTACCTCCTTCCCACCTGACCGGTTAGGCCCTTCATAATTTTTAGCTGCCCCCTCCTCAAGAAAAGTTGGCGTTTGGGACAGACCCAGCAACCCTAGTGTCACACTCATTTTCCTCCCTGCTATTTCTGATTGGTAAGACTCCGTTACTGGTCAGCCACGGTTCCTCTTTCCCTCTCACCCAATGGAATGAGAAGGTCCCATTCAGAACACCACAATTCCTTTCCAGATCCATGGATCTCTAGATCAAAGCTCTATAACACTTTGCCCACCAACGAGCCAAACCCTATAACTTCCCTACCCATTGTGGTTTTTGGCTTGGCAACGCAGACAAGATAGTTCTCCACTACTTGCCCTTGGAAGGAAGGACCAAGCAAGGTGGTGAGAGAGACCTAGAGACCAATTTTGGATTTGAAATTCCATGGGACAGTTAGGAGAACTAAAGTGTTCACGGTATGGATTTCGGTCCACTGGTTTTGCAAGCGGGAAGGTCATACGAGGTCAACAGATGGGTAGTCATGAGGTTGGCCTGGTCATAACCCCCAAAGAATGGGCTCCTCAACTTTCTGCCTCATCGGATTAATTAAGGAGTGTGCTCAGCACACCCCACTTGCCCAGTGGGGTGAGAACGGATAATGGAAATGCCGTAGGGAGGAAAGAGAGGCAGAGCGAAAGACAGGAAGGAAAGAAGGAGAAGGTCAACAAGGATCACCGTGGTCAAGGAAAGCTCTTGGAGAGAAAGAACGTTGCTGATGGCGAGCTGGACAAGAAGTCCGACAGAAAACAGGACGAAGAAGCAGGGAGGACCAGGAAAAAGATGACTCAAAAGGTGGCAACAAAGAGACCGGACCCAAATTCTGACAGGCAGGTAGACAGGGTGGAAAGCAGGTGAGACCTGTCCTCCTGAAACATCTCCAAAAGCCGGTCACACCTTGTCCAGCAGAGACCGCTGGCAATACAGCAACCGTTTGGGTGTGCTGTAACGCTTGAAGATCAGAATGGCGACTCCCACAGCGCAGATGGTGAGGAGCAGCAGGACGGGGATCACCACCATCGTGGCGTTCAGCCCGCCTTCCTCGGCATTGTCCACCTCAATGATGATGACTTCTTCTCCCTCGCGACGGTTATCGGTGGCACATCCCATTCAGTCTCGCAGCACCGACTTGGGGTACCCCGGTTCGACCTTGAGTTTCTCATTGTTAAACTTCCAGTAACGGTCGTCCTTGTAGAAGTAGGTGAAGGCTATCGAGGGAAGACAAGGAAGAACAGACATGGGAGAGTAAGAACGTGGTGGTACATTAAATGAGATTTTTTTTTAATAGAAAATTTTATTGAATAAAACAGTTGAACACAATGCGACTTTCCTGGCAATTATTTTGCCATACATGCTGTAACACAAAACCACATATAACAATTGATCTCTTCCTTATTCTACATTACTAAGTTGGTGCTATTTACACATATATTTTCCTATTTACAACATAATTTCCTTGCATGTTCTTTTTACATAGTCATTATATCCTCTATACAGCCTAAAAATCTTCCACCTTCGGTCTTATAAAGTGTCACAATTTGGGTTTTTTTTATTCCGACTTCCTTTCTTCAAGTCTAACCATTGGTACATTTTGTTCCAGACTTCATAATATTCTGTCTCACCCTTTTCTTTAATTTCTAATGTTAGCCTGTCCATCTCTGCACAGACCAAAATTTTCTTTATTATTTCACTTTCCTCAGGGATATTCCCATTCTTCCAATTTTGGGCATGGACCAATCTTGCATCAGTTATAACATGCAAATATATCATTGCTTTACAATATTTTCCTTCTATAATTCCCAATAGGAACAATTCTGGTCTGAACTCTATTTTTTGGTCAAGTATCTCTTCTAGCCATATCTAAATCTGCCACCAAAATTATTTTGCTTTGGTGCACGACCACAACATATGATAGTATGTCACTGTGTTACATTTCCAACATTGTGGTGATACGTTTTTGCTCATTTTTGCCAATCTTGTTGGAGGTAGGTGCCACCTGGTAAAACATTTTGCATAGGTTCTCTTTATAAGAAGTAGCCAAGGCTAGTTTCCTATTCCTTTCCCATAACTTTTGCCATTTATCTAACTCGATATTGTAACCAAAGTTTTTTGCCCATACTACCATTACTTCTTTCACTTGTTCCTCCTCCATTTTATATTCCAATAGGTATTTGTAGGTTTTCTTAATTGCTTTATCCTCTGTTCCTAATAGAATTCTATCTAATGTTGTCAATTCTCTCTGTATACCCCATTCATTTTTATCTTTCTTATAGCATGATTGGATTTGTAGATACGCCCACCATTCCAATTGTACCCCTTCTTCTCTTAGTTCTTGTCTGGATTTTAGTTCCCCATTCTCATTTACTATATCTTTATATGTAATAACTTTTCCCAAGTTGATAAAGTTTGGGTGCATTAACGCTTCTAACATTGAGAACCATATCGGTGTTTCTATATAATTCTGTTGTTTGATTTTTGTCCATACCCAAAGCAAAGCTGATCTTACATAATGACTCTGGAAGTACTGGTGAGCATTATGTCTTTTGTCCCACAAAAATGTGTGCCAACCTAATTGTAAATCATGGCCTTCCAACGTTAGTAACTTCCTATTTTTTAAGTTTATCCATTCTTGCACCCATGTAAGTGTAGCAGCTTGATAATACAGCTCCCAGTCCGGCAAGCCAAATCCCCCTCTTTCTTTAGCTTCTTGTAATAATTTCAATTTAATTCTCTGTTTCCTCCCCTGCCAAATAAATTTCAATATTGTTTTATTCAGATTTTCAAAATATTTCTCAAATTTTATGGGTATATTTTGGAAAAGAAATAATAATTTTAGTAGGATATTCATTTTTATTGTTGCAATTCTCCCCATCAAGGAAAGTTGCAGGTTTTTCCATCTCTCTAAATCTGTCTTTATTTGATTATTCAAATTAGTATAATTATCCTCCTTAATTGTGATGCACCTTGCTGTTAGCTGTATTCCCAAGTATTCCCACTTTCTTCTCTATTTGGATATTTATTTTCTCGACCAGATCTTTTTTTTTTACATTTGACATATTTTTGACCAACATTTTGGTTTTATCTTTGTTGATTTTTAAGCCAGCTACTTCCCCATACTCTTCTAGTACTTCCATAAGCTTTGCACCCAATTGTAATGGCTCTTCTATGATAAAAACAAGATAGTCCGCAAACGCTTGCAGTTTGTAAACTTCTTTCTGAATGCTTAAGCCTTTAATTTGGTTGTCTTTTTGAATCATTCTTGTCAAAACCTCTAGAGTTAATATAAACAATAGTGGTGATAACAGGCAGCCCTGTCTTGTGCCTTTCTTGATTGGAAAACATTGTGTCGCTTCTCCATTAACTATAACTCTAGCCTCTTGTTTAGCATAGATAGCCCTAAATATATTTATGAAATTATCACCAAAGTCCATATAACTTAACTGTCTTAACATAAAAAATGAGAAATTGTTCTGACCCAGCTCCCCAAACACAACAAACACCCTGAAGTTAACTCAAAGATTCCTTTATTAGGAGCACCAGCAGCCCTGGTGAACGGTTTCTCTCTCGCCGCAGGCTAACAAGTCCGTCCGGCAGAGAGATGAAAAGTTGTCTGCCACATCTATTCATCTCTGTCCCCTGCCTTTTACCCCCAGAGCTAGGATGGGGCTTTGCTAGCAGCAGTGGCTCTTCCATCCTGAGGACCGGCCCATAGATTTCTACTGCTCTCCTCTCCTCTGCCTTCTGCGCATCTGTGTGTCAGGCACTGGACCCAGCTGTTCCTCCTCTTCCTCATTAGCCACCTCCAGACCTAGGGGCTGTTGACTCTCCATCTGAGGGCTGACAGACGGCCCAGGCTCTGTCTCTGTCTCTCTCTCTGCCAACTCCATTCCCTCTTCCCCTTCAGAGCTCTTAGGTTGCCCTAATGCTGACCCTGACTCCCACACCTCCTCCTCCTCTGATTTGGCTGCTGGAGGGGCTGGCGGCTGACAGGCCACAATAGAAATGCTAAAGGCCATTTTAAATATGGGATGGTGTGTGTTTTTCCTTTAAATCAGATGTGGGGAACGATGGCCCTTTTATGACTTGTGGACTTTACAAGTTGAAATTCACAAGTCATAAAGGGGCCATAGTTCCCCATCCCTGCTTTAAATTTCAGATTTGTGAGGAGAATTATGGGAATTAAACACAATCCTTGATTATAACCTCTCATTTAATGACTGTTCAAAGTTACGATGACACTGAAAAAAGTGACTTAGGACTGTTTTTTCACACTTACGACCATTGCAACATCCCCGTGGACATGTGATCAAAATTCAGATGCTTGGCAACTAGTCTGTATTTATGACGGTTGCAGTGTCCCGGGGTCACGTGATCCCATTTTGCAACCATGTTATTAATTTAACAATTGAATGATTCACTTAACAACGGTGACAAGAAAGGTCGCAAAATGGGGCAAAGCTCACTTAACAATTGTCATATTTAGGAAAGGAAATTTTGGGCTCAACTGTGGTCATAAATCGAGGACTACCTGTGAATGAAATCCAGAACCCAAAATTTAATTTCAGGCAACTTTAGAAAAAAATATGAGGGCAATCGTACACTCTGTGGCTAAAATAAAAGTTCCAAGTTTGGTATTATTAGAAAATTATTTTACAATTTTTACTGGGTTGAACCAAGACAGTGATTTTTTTTTCAATTAAACTTAAAGGAGTGATGCGGTAGCCTAGAGGTGGAGTTCTCACCTCATAATCAGGAGGCTGTGAGTTTGATCCTAGGTCGAGGCAAATCAGATGTTTTTCTCTCTGGGCACACTAAGAATATATCTGCTGAACAAAACTCTGCATTGGTGACAGGAAGGGCATTAGAACACTCTGCTAGGGTGTTCTAATGGCTGGATGCCTTTCCTGTCACCAATGCAGAGTTTTGTTGTCCAGCTCCATTCAGTTGCCCAGACTCCACCCCACAAGGATTATGGGGTCATTAAATGATGATGATGAATTCAATTAAACTTAAAAATCACCCTGCTTCATTCCCACCAGTTATTCTGAATGCTACAAAAAAATTGAACACCTCATTTGCATCTCATGAATGAAATCAGCAGGGATATATTTTGGCTGGACAAAAAAGGAAGAATGGATCGTTTTCATGCATATGTTAAGCAATTCTGATCCTACTTAAGCAAGACTTCCAAATTTGGGTTAGTAAGAAGGACTTCCTTCTTCCAAATAAGGAAAATGATTAAGATAAACATCAGTAAGTCCATGTATGAATAATCATTACTAATAAGACATCAGTGAATCGTTTTATGCAGGTGCATTCAGAGAGACATCAGAAATTTTTCATCGTGGTGGAAATGACTGTTAGCCACTCATCTACATTCCTTATCAGTAAATGTAAAACTGGAGAGCAATTAAATATGAGTTTGAGGCTCTTAAAAGCATCTTCACAGAACGCTTGTTCGATCTCCTCAGAAAAAAAGTGAATTTATGGGAAGCCATTGGATTTCCATTGCTTTGAATTAAGACCATTCAAAGGCAAACCTGAATCCAATTTAACTGTATTTGCAATCAATTTCAATTTTCCTTCGGGTTCTGCTCATTTGTGGAGGGGACCTTCCCCTGACCCATCACACCAGTTAGAAACTATGTGCAGCCTTGGCTTGGAAGCAGAAATGAACTGGAACCGGTGAATTCAAACTATGAAGAAGGAAGCCGACGTTAAACATCAGAGCTTCCTGATAATACAAGCTGTTAAGACAGTATTTCTCAACCTCATTGATTTTTAAGAAGTATGAACTTCAACTCACAGAATTCTGAAACACTCAATCAACCTTCCCCAAGTAGCCATGTTGTGTTGTCCAACACATGCTCCTATCACATCTATGCAGATTCTCAGGTCATGGTTGTTGTTAGGAATCTGTCCACCAATTAGTTGGGTTGGCAATATATAAACCAACAATGTATGTTTGTAGCTTTAAGACAAAATCACTGTATTGATTTGTACTATGTTCCAATTGATTGATTGTATTGCGAATTGCCATAAGAGGGAGCTAGAGATCATGGTTTGCTCTCTCTGACATTCTGTATCTCTGACATTCTGTTGCTATCTAAGGTTCTCTGCTGTGCTTATACTTTGATATTTTTGTTTACTGGAAATGACAAAGGCAACCGGTAAGAAGACTTTGTAATTGGATATTCTTTGGACTGTA